TGGCCCAAAGTTATGCTGGCCCACTGGAAAATTTCCAGGTATGCCAGTGGGCCAGTCTGGCTCTTGAGGTTTCCAATCCCATTTGAACCCGGAAGTGCACAGTCAGGTTTAACACCACTTCCCACTGTTATTTTCCATTAGCATCTTGACATTCTGTAGAAATCCTCTCTGTTTAATTGACTTTATACTGAGCACTGGGGGTAAGGCAATCACATTTGTTTGCTGACATATTACTTAGCAACCCCGCACACCACATGGAGCTGCATCGCTCCATAAAGAAGACTATCATATTTATAGCAGGGGGAAAAGATCATCCACTTTTTTGTAAGAAAAGGTCCAGAAATATAAAAAAATGCATTGCAAAAAAATATATAAAAATGGCCCATATTGAATATGGGCAATTGGGGCACAAAAATCAACAAATGAAATTAACCAGACAGATTTAATAAATTGAAAAAACATAAAAACTGATGTTTTAGATAAAAACGTGTTAACAAATATTTGTTATAGATTCTAGTTTATTTATTAAAGGGATTCTCTAGTGACAGGAATTAGACATTTACAATTTGTTTCGTTCCGAATGTACATTCATACGAATTTCATGCGGATGCTGACAAATGTCCGAAGTGCCGAAGTTCCAAAGCGCCGAAGTTCCAAAGAGACGAAGTTCGGTAGTTTGGAAGTGCCAAAACTCTGAAGCGCCAAAGCGATTTGGGTTTCTGGAAAGTGGCAAAACAAGAGAGAGCGGGAAAATTAAATGAATGATGACAGGAATCTTGACCAATAAGCTAATTCCTTTCGTGAAATGTAATGTTTGTGCCCAATACGGTTTCACTGTTCCCTGTCCTATGACATGAGCAAATTTTTGTGATTGCAATTAATGGTGATTTTGTCACTGACACTCGGCCAGTGAAGTCACACAGAGTCATTGAGGTGGGATAGTATATAAATTAGGCTGTCAGGATGTTGGCTTGCATTCATGTGACCAGACTAGCTGTGATAGCACAAGAGACTGAATAAATTACATTACATTTATTGTACTTTACTTGTTGCAAACTTGGGGAGCCAAATTGCTTTTAAGTGTGAGTTCCAGGGAGAGAGAGAGAGCGTGAGAGAGAGTTTTGCCTTTTTTTTCTTCTGAATTTTGTTTCTTTTTTGAAGATGGGGTGGGTGAGAGAGTGTGTGGCTGTGCAAACCAGGTAGTCTGTGTGACAAACACCGCTTTTCACAGACGTTTGCCACGGACTCCTGGAGGAGTGTGGAAGCTGGCCTCTTGCCCACCGACTATGGGCCAGGTCAGCGACTGTAGAGACCCATATTTTATTCCCCCTCATTCTCCTGGTTCAACACTTTCCATTAATGCGCACAGAACCGAACGCTAGCTCCCTGGCGGCCGTTCGCATGGACCGAATAGACTTCGGGGGACTTAGCCGCGAATGCCCTGGAACTTTTTCAGGCATGAAGACTTCGCGGCTCCCAGTCGGTCCCCAGCGGCACTTATCCGTGATTCTATGGAACTATTTTCGGCATGAGATCATGCGTGCGGTCGGTTAAACTATGACTTCCAGGAAATTCCTGAACCGATCTAGGTGATTTTTGGATATGTTGGTCACCCCAACAACCCAACATGTTGGACACCCCAACAAGCTGCGACAGTTTGTGAGGTTTACGGTGGTTATGGTGTCCGGTGCGGTGCTTACGGTACTCAAGGATTACTAGGAAGCAGAAATTGACTGAGGTTACCGGTCAGTCTGATTGCCAGAGTGTCTTTCTGCTGCACTGTGACTTTACTGCAGTGATTAATTTTGTGTTCCAGCCTCTTGCTCTCACTTTGCTCTCTCTCTCACACACACTCTCACTTGCTTGTTCACACACAAATTGCTTTCACTCTGCTCTCATACTCGCCACAAAGATGGTGTCACCGGGGTGGGATTATATAGTGTGCAAAAGTGTTGCATGCTGGTAGTGCTCCCTGATTGGCTGCACTATCTGTGCAGTGAAAATATAATTTTGTAAATTGTATATATTTACTAAAGTAACACCTCTAATTATTAACTAAACCCAGACCACTTTTTTAAGATTAAGTGGTCTGGGTGCTGCTGTGGTCCACAATGCAATGTAAAACACTGCTGATTAAGAAAAAAACACACAAATGTTTATTTTTAAAAACAAACGACATTCCGAACAGTTCAAAGTGCCAAACCGAACCAAATGCCATTGGTCCGAATTGCTGAATCAAACACATTTTTTTATTAACCTGTATTTCCGAACCGAACCAAATTTTTTGCCTATGCACATCCCTACCAGAAATACAAACCTGTTTTCCTGGCATTGTAAAATAACCTTTTTAGGTCCGTAGATTTTTCCAAAAGGCGAATAATCCTGACTCACAATTGAGTAGTATGATGAAATAAGGTTGTCATAGTGTAGAAGTTAAAATAAAATCCATTCTTTGTTTATAGAAGGTATAGTCCACACAGATAATGCAAATGTGTGCAAGTGTCAATTTCAATGAACCATCTAACATGTTTCATGCAAATAAGTGCACTTGGTCACAGGCCTGTCTCATTAGATATTTTCTTTTGCCTTAAAGGACCACTATAGTGCCAGGTAAACATACTCGTTTTCCTGGCACTATAGTGCCCTGAGGGTGCCCCCACCCTCAGGGTCCCCCTCCCGCCCGGCTCTGGAAGGGGGAAAGGGGTTTAAACTTACCTTTTTCCAGCGCTGGGCAGGGAGCTCTCCTCCTCCGATCCTCCTTCTCTCCTCCCCTTCGGCTGAATGCGCACGCGCGGCAAGAGCTGCGCGCGCATTCAGACGGTCACATAGGAAAGCATTCATAATTCATAATGCTTTCCTATGGACGCTGGCGTGCTCTCACTGTGAAAATCACAGTGAGAAGCACGCAAGTGCCTCTAGTGGCTGTCAATGAGACAGCCACTAGAGGAAATAGGGGAAGGCTTAACCCATTCATAAACATAGCAGTTTCTCTGAAACTGCTACGTTTATGAAAAAAATGGGTTAACCCTAGCTGGACCAGGCACCCAGACCACTTCATTAAGCTGAAGTGGTCTGGGTGCCTAGAGTGGTCCTTTAAGCTGAAGGAAACAAGGTGAATTGTTGGTGTAGGGCCCCACCACCTAAGGGGTTTGCCTTGACGTGGCAGGTGGGCTTACATCTAATGGCCATTGGAGTTACCAAATAACCTCCATTTATATTAATTTTGGAATAGATTTGGAATAGAGCGCAAGTAACTTTTTTTTTGTTTTTTATTGTATGTATTGGGGCTGATGTGTACTATGGTCATTTCTGCCGCCCAGGAGTAGTGGGAGTTTAAGTGCGGGATTTATTTTTGTGTATTTGTATGCCCTTATTGTTGCCCACCGATTCTGTGTTCAATTATTTTTTAGGGTCCCCCCCGTGTGCCCACTGCCTGATCCCAATGATCTTATAGTGAAAGTCACATTTCTGCATTAGCAATATCAGTTTTTATCCTTGTCTAAGTAGCATTCCCTGGCTGAACATGTCAACTAATGTATTTATATAGGGAATGCCATCCAAATACAGACATAACTTCTGGGAGACCCTCGGTGTGCATCAAACTGCCTGCAAAATGGCTTGACAGAGAACTAGTGTCTAAACAGAACAGGTGTCTAAACCAGGGGCATGCTGCCGCCATAGCCATTACAGTGGACTGTAGTAGTTATAAACATATATTAACCTTGCACGTCAAAAATCCCTTGCTTACAAGATAGCCTTTGGTAGTAAATGCACAGGCCTTCAAATGATGGTATAATTGTGGGAAAAAAACATTTCCTAATCAAATTTCATTGTCCTTCAATCAGCTTCCCCTGCCAATATAAGATAATATAAAGGGTCACTAATATAAAGGGACATGTATTAATAAAACTGTCATTTATGGAGAACTGGTATGGGGATGTCACATTGTCAGCTACAGTATGTGAGCTAAAAAGATAACTAAATTAAATGTTTCTATTATTCTGTTAATTTGGTTTATTATGACTTTTGGGCACCAATGCTCCATGTTCTTTTATATGGAGGGCCTCAAGAATGTATTCAATCTGTACCAAACCGTAATGAATTGAAAATTGATACTTAAGGCAAAAGTAGCCGACCTGTGACTTTAGTTGATTTTGATAATTTATCCAAATCAGCTATTTTAGTCTACGTTTTTTTGTTTTTTTTTTAAATTTAGCTTTCAGTTCTGCCTCCAAGCCATGGACTCATGCAGTCCCATTTATCGCCAGCAGAGTTCACTGCAGGGCCCGTATTGGCTTCTTATTGAAAAGACTGTGATTTTTAACAAATTCAAAGAACACTAAGTAAAAAACTTTTTTTTAAAAATAATAGCTACCGCGTCTATAAAAAAAAAAAAAAAAAGTGCTTTCTTGCATGTATAATAAGTACCAAGCGCTCTGTAAACTGTTGGTATTTAACTATAATTAACTATATAACTGTTGACTATAAGCAAGATACTGCATTTTTTAGAATGCATGAATTTGTCCCTATTTCAGTATTTTGGACAATATACCGATCTTTCATCTTCTTCTGGTTTATTTATGGGTTACATTTCCCCATGGAATTGCTTATATACCGAGCTGCTATGGGGAAGAAGTGGTTATCTGTGTGTTTCAAATTAAGGGTTAATGGGAAAGTGTCCCGAGGAAGTCTGGCTGAGTGTGATAGGAGTTAGTATACACAACATCGTAAATACAGGTATTCTAGTATACCCACTAAACCTAAACAAGTCCTAGCTAGATCTGCCTTTTTAATGTTGTGACTAAAATGACAGCATTTATCCGTCTGTATTTGTTAATCCGATATTGCAGTAATCTAGATATTTGTTTACAAACTTTACGGAAC